CAATACACCAAGTAGCATTAAGATATGATACTTCAGGACCAAATAGTTCTTTGTTATCTTCTGGAGGTTAAAAAGGGTCTTTTTTGGATATTAAGTAAACAAACTATCATTGGGCTAGTCAATTGATGATCTTTATATAGAATAATTGTAAAACATTTTCTATATAAATTGACTAATGAATAAAAATATTATTCTCTAACTCGCTCGAACTGCAAGTCAAGATAAAATTTTGTTTCCCAAAGTATTTATATCAAATTATCTTTTTAGATAACTTGTGGTCCTTTGAATCTCTTAAGGAGTTCCAATGATATTTAAAACATCAACATATATAACAATTATCACAAACCTTTTTTCAAATTTCTTTATAAAACTACATGAACAAATATGGTTATTTTTACAACCTTCTTTCAATAAATATTTATTTAAGCAATTATACCACATGCACACAAATTAGTAATAAAGAGTAGGCATTGAAAAATAAAAAAATAAATATAAAAAGTATAGCATAAATTTAATTCTTAAAAACTAAAATAATAAAACAAATACGAAAATAATTTCAATAGAGATTTTTATATTTTAATTGAATTCATTTCTCAAGAATATGTATTATATGCTTCATGCATCTTCTTAAGTCTTTTTAGGACTTTATATATATATATATATATATATATATATATATATATATATATATATATATATATATCATTTTTAATTGAACAAATAAGTTGTGATCATATTCATTAAATGCATGTATATGAAGTTTTTCATATATTTTATGAAGCTAATGAGATAATGGAATGTAATTGCATCTATTACGGAAGAATATATCTCCTTATAGTCAATGTCAAGTCTTTGTGAAAACCTTTGTATTACAACCCTTGATTTATATCTCATAATCCCATCTTTCTTAGTTCGTTTTTACAAAAATACTAATTTGTATCCCACTAGTTTCACATCTTCACGTGTTTTGACTATGAGTCTAATAATTACTCATTTGTAAGAAAACAAAATTCTATCTGAATTGTTCTTTTCATTTAGGTCAATCATCTTTATATCGATATTCTTCAATAAATTTAAGCTCGGTATCCTTATTTTTATTCAAAATATCAATTGCAATATTATATGAAAATTTTTTATTAATAAATGTTTCTTTTTTGTTCTATTTTCTTCTTGTATCGACATAATTTATCAAAGTCCCTTTGATTTTTCTCAAGCATTTGCACTTCTTTCAAAAGCTTATTAGTAGAAACATCTTGGATCATTTCATAAATATTTACATCCTTTATATTTATATTTATATTTTAATCATTTTTCTTTTCCTTTTGGGATTTTTACTTTTAGAACCGATTAGTCTTTCATACTCTAGGCGTGTTTTAAATTTATTTGCTATAACATTAATAGATTGTCCTTTTAGGACATCAATTCTAGTTGGAGCATTCGTAGTGGAGATCCGCATTTTAGTTACTTATTTAAGATCCGAGAATGCATCTCGTAATTGGTTTGCAATACCTTATAAATGAATTATCTTGTAAACTTCTAGTTCATATTATTTTATACGAGAATTAAGATACTATAAGATAGAGAATTAATATAAGATAGAGTCATTTAAAACTAGTTTTAACTATGTGATGATGTCATCTTTCATACTATCCATTAAGTTCATGTGTATGTGGTTGGGTGGTGAGATGAGAAATGCCATATATTGTTAAATAATCTTTCGATGCCAAATATTTCCTCCAATTATCCGAAAAAAGTGTATGGATTTTGTGCTTAAAATAATTTTCTATAATGGAATTGAAGGGAATAAAAATGGCTTTAATTTTAGATTTTGACTTTAGTGGGCAAAGTCATGTATATTTGGTAAAATAATCTAAAAAAAGATATAATATTTGAAACCATCGTACAAAATAATAAAGAAAGTCTAAGCATCCAAAAAGATAATTTCTAGGGGTTGGGAAGAGACAAAATAAGAAGTAAAAAAAAAAAAAAACAAATCATAACTTATGACTCTTATTACACTCGGTATGCATTATATAAAAAATATTTTGACATAAGAAATGACACATTTAAATCATAAACATGGATAATATGTTTTGAAACGGAAAAGGCTAGGTGACCTAATGTATGATGCTAGTTTAAGGAGTCGATGAGTTGAAACTCATTAGTGTGAAGATTGGTTGAGTGTATTGGAGTGGTAACGAGTTGGATATGTTTAGTTGTTAGTAGCCATTGAATTATTTTTAGCGGTCATCTTGATTACTAAAGAAAAAAAAAGCTATTAGAATGCTCCTATAACATAAAAGATATTTAATAGGTGTCAATTGCTCAAGTTATTTTTATTGGTGAAAAACATAAGATATATACACTAAACTCGATCATAAGAACAAGCTCGTCTTTTAAGAATAAGCTAATCTCCTAAGAGTAAGGTTATAACTCATATACATTTATATTTGAATTTGAATTATAAATCAATGATAACTGTCACCAAATACTTTACAAACAAAACCAGCCCAAAAATCATCTTTGAAAATCGTATTCTTCTTGATCAAATCGATTACAGTAACCCTATTTGTATTTCCAAAAGAAAGAATCTCTTGTTATCTTCCTAAGCCCCTAAATTGATCTCTTTCCCAAATGAGAACAAATTCTCTCTCTCTCTCTCTCTCTCTCTCACACACACACACACACACACACACACACACACACACACACATACACACACACACACACACACATTATCCTAACCTCTTAAAGTGTGCAATAAGAGTAGTAGAGTAGAATTTGAAGAAACCTAAAGAGCACTAATATCATATCAAACCATACATTCAATCAAATTATTGTTATTCACTCAAGTGTTAGTTTGAAAATTGAAGCAAATTGTGCTTTAGTTAGAAGATAACAAGGTTTGCTATTAAATTCAATCTCAATCTCAGCTTTACGAGTTGTAAAAAATTGAATTTAAAACTATGAAAGACTATTAGTTGTAGGAAGAAAAACATAAGTAAAATTATCAACAAATCTCAAGAGACCCTCTTTGAGGACTAGACTACTCATATTTTTGTGAGAAACCGAATAAATCCTTGGTGCAAATCTCTCTCTCTCTCTCTCTCTATATATATATATATATATATATATATATATATATTTGTTTGAGTATTTAGTATGTTTGATTGCTTTCATATTTGCACCTATTTGATCTTTTTCATTACTATTGATGATTGTGGTTTTATTAGAGTTGATTGTTTAAAAACTTATTTGTTCTGCGGTGTCTTACTCATCTAGCATGTTGCATCATCTTTTTAAGATTATTAGTCTAATTTTTATTGTAATCTAATTACTTACTTAGGATTGTCCTTTAGAACAATACAAACACAAATATTTTGGATATAACCCAATTCACGCATAACACAACTTTTTCTAAACCACATACGTTACTAGTGTTTTTTTTTTCCAATCACTAGAAACATCTAAAACAAAACCAAACTCCTATATTTATAGAAACTTTAACCTATCAATAACAAGTTCTACATTAAATAGAAAACCCGTATTTAATAAAAACTAATAACAAGTCCTACATCAAGTAGGAAACCAACACCTATTAAGAAATCAAATCATCATAACATAAGGATTAAAGATTAATATCTACTTGGTTTATTCCCAACAAAAGTTATTGAAAAGAATATTTGGTTAAATTTTATATATATATATATATATATATATATATATATAAACTGTTTTGAAAGCTATTTAAAAGCTAAAAGTCGAAGTTGCAAAATGAAGCTTGAGTTTTTGAATCTTATATGACATAAAAATATTTTAAATTCACCTATTAATAAATGTATTTTTACAATTATAACAACCATAACTATAGGTACAACTACAACAAAAACCTCAATTTTTCCAAAAAGACCATTAAAAGTCAAAATTAAGAAGTTACAAAATGAAAAAGTTTTAGTTTTTGAATACTAAAATCGTTTTAACAATACATATTATGAATTTTTATTTTATTTTTTTACAATTATAATAGCCACAGCCACCACAACTACATACATAGCTTTCCTAATGAAAATCTATCAATCGCATGAGGTGCTTCTTTTTATTTTTGAAAAAGGGTCCTATGTTAGAGTTCATGCTTTGTAAATCTAAAACATGGCCAAGTAATTATAAGGTTGACTGTGATTTACATCCAAAGAAACGACAAATAAAATATAGGGAAGGTCTTATTTTGTTTTGTTTTGTTTTTTGTTTTTATCATAAAAGAATTAGTTACTCATGCACATCACTCCCATACTCTCTGATTTGAACCCATTGTGGACCACAGCTCGACCCAATTCTATAAATCTAATCTTTCTATAGTTTTAGGCCTCATCTCTTCAAGGATAATCTTCCAGCCTTGCAGCCTTGCATAATACACACATGATAACAAAACAAGATTACAATATCCAACCTCAAAATCACCAAATCCAGCAACCTAATAAATACATTAGTATATTACAGGAAACAGAAATGCTCACAAAAACTAGTCATGCGTATACTACACATCCTAAAGGCCTCGTAAATCAAACTTTTACAATAGAATGATTTTCTCAATGATACTATTCACTAATCCCCACTCTCCACTCACTGTAAACAATTCCTACCACCATCCTTTATACCATTTTTCTGAAAATATGAATCAAGAATAAAATTCACCCGTCATATATTTTGTAGAAATTATTGTATCTTTTATATTTTTATATACATGAAAATGAAGGACCATTCTGCATAACGAGGATAGTGGGATTGGATCTGAATGGCATCCTCCTGGCCAGCAAACAGCCAAGAACAATAACTCGACCCCAGGTTTCCACTGCCCCACCATTCTTTTCCTTCCATCTTCTCTAACCCCAAGAAGCAACTTTACCCTTTATTAATCACACACTCTTCCTTCTTCAACACCCTCTAAAAAGCAAAGCAAACCCAAACCCACAACTCTACTCAACATTTTCTTTCTAACACCAATGTCCCTCAAAAACATAACTTTCCTCTTGTTACTCACTTTCTTTCCTCCTCTTCTTCTGGGTTTACCCAACCCGGACGCGGCTACAATTCAACCATTTAAGCCAAACTCATCACCACCAGCAACAATACCTGCATTCCCTGAACAATCCAACCTTGCTGGTTGCCCATTAGACCTTCCCAGTGAACTCTTCCATGGCATTAAATCAGCCTGTGGCGGTGGCTCCTCTGCAACTGGGCACCTCCACAGAACCCGATGCTGTCCTGTTCTTGCAGCCTGGCTCTACTCTGCTTACTCTGCCACTGCACTTAGCGGAGCTAACAAAGTAATTGCAGCAACGACTACAGGTCGTTCACCATCTTATGACATGCCATTGCTTCCTGATGATTCAGAGACTTGTGTTGATGGGCTCTCAAAAGGGTTGAAAGAGAAAGGCATAGAATTGGTTAAGCCTAATGAGACTTGTGATGTTGTGTATTGTTATTGTGGTATTAGATTGCACCCTTTGAGTTGCCCTGAGGCTTTTTCTTTGAACCAAAAGGGAAAGCTTGTTGGTGACAAGAGAGTTAAGAAATTAGAAAGAAATTGCTTGAGTAATAGCAATAATGTGAATGGATTTCCTGGTCTTGGTGGCTGCAACAAGTGCTTAAACAGTCTTTATTTGGTAAGTTAATTTTTTATTTATTATTTATTTTCTATCTTTAGTTAATTTTGATTATCATGTTTTGCTTGTTTCTTGAATTCTTTGTTTTTCCAATTCTTGGGATTTTTTTGTTCTGTCTTGATTTGTTGTTTAATGGATGTTGTCAAAGAATGAAGATCAAGAAGTTGATAGGGTTGTGTGTCTTGTTCTACGGTTGGTAAATTGGGAAAGTTGTTTGTTCATTTTTTGTTTACTTTATCCAAATTAGTACTAGATAGATACTTTAGACTTTAATCTAAGCATTATATGGCAACGCCCCAAAGATGCGAGTGAAACTTACTGTCAGTGAGAATTCTAAGAGGAGAACATAAAAAGATAAACATTGTTTGTCATTGGATGGTTTAGAAAGTTTCTATTGGTGAAAATTTGAGATATATAGTGACAAAAGGAGTAGTCTTTTTCACAGGCTGAGGTGCAGGAAGAGTCAAGAGTTTATTTATTAGACAGTTTCCTGTGAGTTTCGCCATCTCCAACTTTGTAGAGTACAATGCTAGGCTTGGAGTAGGACCATGATTTCGTTGCTGTTAAGTGTTGCTAGGCAAGAACTGGTGTTGTGTGATATACTGGAAATTTGTTTATATATTCCATGTTTAGTCACAATGGTAATATGCTATTAGATGCTGGACATTTCAAAGATCAGTAATTTTCTCTCCTTTTTCTTATGAATCGGAGACAGGATTTGATTTTGGGACTAACTTTTCTATAGCAATGCCTGATTTACTCAGAATTTTGTTATTTTTGTCTCTTTTTATTTGGTTTACCTTTATGTTAGTGAGATGCTTTCTTTAATTTATGTTGATTAGATTCTTTTACATTGTTTGGATGTTGCTGATGATGGAAGTCAAGAGTTGTAGCTTGCAGTAGATTTTGATTAGAAGTTGCACCAAATAATTAGTTGTTTAAAACCTCAAGCATCAAGACGTGTACTTCTCCAACCATAAACAATCTGTTATTCTAATTGATAATTATTTGATGCAGCTTAACAACAAGAAGACTTTAAATTCAAGCAAACCAGAGGATAGGACCACAAAAATGCACAACAAAGATTGCCAGTTGATGGGTCTCACATGGCTACTAGCGAAGAATCGCACGGCTTATATTCACACAGTCACTGCAGTCTTACGAGCCATGATGATGAGCACGGACGGCTCCGATCCTCGGTCGTGCACTCTTAACAGCGATGGAATGCCTCTAGCCGTTGATTCTTCTGAAATCTCCAACAATTCTTTGTCCATCTCTCATCAAGCTCCCATCTATGCAACCGTTGCTTTAATTTGTTTGTTAAATTTTCTACTCATTGTTCCATCCATCAAATTTTAGACAAAACTGCATAGCTCCTTCAACTTAGTGAATCTGTAGCTGAGACATTGTATGATTATGTTGATCGCTGCTGATTCTTTTTTTGTTGTTCAATGCCCTTAAGTGCTGTTTTGTAATTGTGATTTTAGGTGAGTAGTATTATGATTGATCTTTCCACTTTATTGGTTTGTTGACAAATAGAAAACATAGTTTGGTGGTAGCTAATGTGGGGGTCTCTTCCAGGCTCCAACATGTACATGTGCCGTGGATGGACTAATGCTTTGTATCGAGGAGACATTTTGTGGTTCATCTTTGGCTTGTTTGGTGGAATTATTTTGGGACAGCTGAATTCTTCACGAGAAATTTATGGACTGGTGTCAACATCTCACAGCAACGGGCCTTTTATCTTCATTGGTCTTGATGCATGCAGAAGATCCATGATGGGGAAGTGGCTGCCAACTGGCTGGGAATAATTACAAATTAACAACAAAAGGTTAAATTGGATGTTGTTGTTTTATCAATTTATTAATAACTCAACAAAATCTATATTTTTTTTCCAGTGTTTGCGAATTTGAACAATCAGACCTTGATCACTCAAGAGACCTATGGAATTTGTGTTAAATGTTTTTAAATTGTATTGTTGAGTTTTGAGAGAAAAAAAGTAACAATAGTTAGGTTTTTGAAATTTTTACGTACGATAAATCATATCCGTCCATATTGACTTTTGTAAAATTAACTGCAATATTATATCATTCTAGATTATCAATGAGCAACAAATTCACCAAAAAATGATTGTTTTTTTATTTATTTATGAACACGAGCGGTATCCTGAAATTTAGTAAATGAACGTAGAAAGAAATAAGGAGGGGAGATCAGCCTAGCCTCATAGGAGGTAAATGAACGTAGAAAGCCTAGCCTAATAGGAGGGAGGATAAGGAAGCCTAAACCCTGAGAGAAAATTACAGGAAAGATCCTGAAATCTACAGTACATTTATCAAGGCAGCAAACCCAGCTATTACTACCAACTAGCAAAATAAATCTCCAAAGACCTATTCGCTAAAGCCAATTTTAATATGGGACGAAAGGTATATAGTCCTAGTTTGTCTTCCGATAGCGCAACTCTGCAATTTATTGGAAGCTCTTGAGGTGAGAAAACAATAACATTGGACAAGTGTTTAAAGGCCCAGTTTGCAAGCTTATTTGCGACCCTATTACCTTTCCTATGGACATGTTGGATGTTCGTATTAGATTTCTTTAGTATTCTCTAAAAATGTAAGTCAGTTGCCAACAACATTGGCTTTTTTTAATTGAAGAATGAACTTTTGTATTTATTTATGAGAAAAAAGAGAGATTAATTTTACTAAATATGGAGTCAATTTACCAATCATGTTTTTACAAGAAAAAAAGTGTTTTTCCAAAATTCTACACACATAGAATGTTCTATAGTTATACAGGTTAATTTAGTTGGCATGGAGAAGTTTAAAATTTAAAATTTCACTTTTATATAAATCCAATGAAGACGTGAAACCCATAATGTTTTTCACCAACTATGCAGTCATCCAATTTCTTAACATTTGAAGTTATAAAAAATATATATTTGATAAAATCGTTATAGCTTGATTAAGTTGACGAATTTGGTTACGAACCTGTACAGATGGTGGGGAGGCCCAAAGTGCAAATGGCTTTGTTTTTTTGATGGACTTGAAGTTAAGCGTAAGCCCGTCTTCATGTGGATTTTTATAAACGTCTCGTGTATATTTTTCAATCAATTTCAGATAGACTATATTAAGTTTTAAAAATTTTAATTTGAATATTATAAATTAGTTTTTAATAAATAATAAATTCCTCCAATAAGTTTTTTTTATGTTGACTTTACGTAGAGTGGACAGTTTTAAAAGTAACACATTTTCTAGTAATTAACATTTCTATATATGTCTTACGTTTTAAATTAATAAATTAAGTTAGTGAGACAATATGGTTTTTAAAGATAATCACGTGATCTCCATGTTCTATATGGAAATTTTTTTCAAAATAATCTATTTTTTATCACAAAATAGTTCATAATAGTTAAATTAAAAATTTTAAAAATTAGGTTTCTTTAGCCGAAAAAACATAAAACCTATCAAAGCTTGAGATTTAACATATATATTGAAATAAACATTAGCTAATTACATATCGACACACCTAACACAAGTTTAGCACATGTTATCTTTGTATATTTACACATTATATGCCATTATATATATTGAAATAAACGTTAGCTAATTACATATCGACACGACTAACACAAGCTTGACACGTGTTATCTCTATATATTTACACATCATATTACACTATTATGAGATGCCATTATATATAGCGAAATGAACGTTAGCTAATTACATATCGACACACTTAACGCAAGTTTAGCACGTGTTATCTCTATATATTTACCCATCATATCACACTATTATGAGATGCCATTATATATATTGAAATAAACGTTAGCTAATTACATATCGACACACCTAACGCAAGTTTAGCACGTGTTATCTCTATATATTTACCCATCATATCACACTATTATGAGATGCCATTATATATATTGAAATAAACATTAGCTAATTACATATCGACACACCTAACGTAAGTTTAGCACGTGTTATCTCTATATATTTACACATCATAGTACACTATTATGAGATGCCATTATATATATATATTATCTAATTACATATCGACACACCTAATGCAAGTTTAGCACGTGTTATCTCTATATATTTACACATCATATAAACGTTAGCTAATTACATATCGTCACACTTAACGCAAGTTTAGCACGTGTTATCTCTATATATTTACACATCATATTACATTATTATGAGATGACATTATCTTCCTTATTCACAAATAAATGGTAAGGTGTGATTCATCTCAATTATTAGGTTTCTATTTGAATAAATCCCAAATATTCATCATAGAGAAACTACTAATCAGCAATCCCATTGTCTTGTTCAAGATAAACTCCGGGTTTACAATTTCTTAGAGGCTAAGGTGATCGGCATATACCTTTTGGTATGATCTTGATTTTTGTCTATTTTCTCATGTTTTACCTTTAAGTCTTTCACGCAATTTAAATTATAGATTTGATTTGATTTTTCATTTTGAAAATGGAACAATCGGTTATCTAGTTTTAAGAAAATTATGATTGATCGGAAAGTTAACGACATGATATTAGAAGAAAATATAGATGCCAAGATCTTTTATCAAGGAAATAAATGATAGGATTTGAGAATTTATCCTCGAACCCAATGCTTTTTACAATTTTATTTAATTTTATGTATTTCATCTCATTTTCCTCTTAAGCAATTATAATTTTTTCTTCCGTCTTCAACCAAAAAAAAAAAAAAAAAACAAAAAACATTTGTTTATAGTTGTGTTAATTTGGTGAAATTGATGGAGTTTGTTGAGCATTTCATTGATGGATTAGTTTCAAGTGCGTAATTATTAACTTAGTATATCAGTTTCTTTGGGAATTTTGTAGGATGCTGTGGTGGTGGCTATGCACTTGGCCGAGACCATTTAGGTTTCTTTAGTCAGATTCCTCCAATTGACCTTCTTTTGACATTTTGGATTTTTCTTATTATTTATACATAGCTTGGAGAGCGTGTTAGACACTTTTTTTTTTTGTCAAGGTTCAATCCTTCTAGATGAATTAGGCTTGTTTGACTAGAGATTTATTTATCCGAAATTGGATTATACTAATCCTAAAAAAAAAAGATTTGGCCTAGTTAAACTAGATTAGGATAGACTATATGTCTTCATCTTTTTTTTTCCTTGTTTTTCTCTTCTGCTCATTTTCTCTTCTCGATTCCTTCTTTTTTTGTTTTGTTATTTCATTTTATTTATCCAATTTTTGAACAACAATTTTCTCTTCACTCTTTTTTTTGTTGCTCGGTGATTTTTCCTTCAAAACTCATGAAAATCATTAAACTTTTTAAAGCATTAGAAAAGGCTTAAATTTTGAAAAAATTAGACAAATCAAGTGAAACATTTAATTATTGACAATTGTGGTTTTTTTTTCCTTAGAAAACTTGTAAAAATAGAGGATCAAAGTTTGAGTTATAACGAGTTGTCCTCTCTCTATAATGTTTAAAGCGGAGAGTCATTGAAAAATATTTTTATTTGGCTTTTCATAATAAGCTTGTAAATATAAAAAAAAAAAAAGAAAGAAAGGGAAAATCCATTTAAAACTAGGCCATTTAAAGAAATTATAAAATTAAGATGATTGATGGGTAATTGATGAGTGTCGAATGCACCAAATTTAATTCACTATTCTTACCAAAATTTTGAGTGAAGGCAAGTTTAGGTCGAACCTTAGAGACTAGTCAATCGATCCTATTATGTTTAAAAACAAGGGAGGTTTTGTTGTTCGCAAAGCCGAATTATAAAGAAAGAAAAAATAAAATAAGAAAGATTTTAATTTAGGAAAAACTTTAGTTCAAGGAGAAATTCAAACATTCAATTTGCGGATTGATCATCGACACCTAAATTACTATTCTTTCATTAGATACTTAGCCTAGATTTACCTAGACACTAGAATAAACCCGAATCTTTCTTAAATTCATTAATTCAAAACCTCACACCTGAATTAAATTCTCATTATTGATTGATTTTGGTATTGACATAATCCTAGTCTAATCAACAATATCATAAAGGATTAGGAAGATAGCTAAGATTGAACAAGATAGTTAAGACCGAACAACAATTTTAGGACATCTAAATCATTTAATTAATCATTATATTTTCCTTAGATAATCAAACCTAATTTGTTATTTGTACTGACTTTTCTTAACAATTATGAATTAAGCGAGTTTGCTTGCAATCAATCACTATATATAATTAAATAATAGTCCTCTTAGATAATTATCAATGCAATCATGATTAATTAAATTCAAAAATTAATTAATTAAGCTCGGAGAAGCAAAAGATACTTAAATAATCAAGGATAGTTTAAAGATAAAATTCATATCTCATAATATTTTGCAAATTGAAGTTGAAATCTCTTGAACCGAATTGATGAAATTAGCTAGACATACTTTGAAGCAATAAATCCTAAATTATATAAAAGAAAACATTTACAAAGTGTATACAAAGTGTGTCTCCGATGTGCAGCCCTAGAGGTTATTTATACATGTAAGAAGATAAATATGACAACCAACAAAGTCTTATTTTAGTTAGTTTTCGAAAATTGATTAGGACTTATAGTCGAATATGACTTTTAGTTATGTTTTGGATTTTTTGAATTTTTTAGGGTCAAAAGATGGTAGAATCGACTTAAGATCTCTATGAAGATTGTATGTTTAGATGTCTTCTTTCTTTAAGTTTTTGAATTATCTTAATACAATATATATAACTCCAAATATGGTCCAAACATTAGGTCGTATTTTGGATTGTCACGGAATCCAAATTTCTTTCGGATTCTTCTCTAATT